CGGACCAGAAGGGGGCCCGCAAAGAAGGTAGATCAAGAAGGTCCATAGCAACGACAACATGAAACACCCTTGCAATTTACTGCAACGACATGTCGGGTAACCCCCTCAAGGGGTCCCCATGCATAGCGTGCCGCCAAAAGCTCATAATTTCAGTTGTGCTTCTCCGCTCCGGGGGGTTGGTGCTGTCGGAGGTGTCATGTCCCTTCTGCTTGGGGCCCCCCAGAGTGTCTTGGGGTGCCACTGCCCATTGACATCTCTTTTTTTATTTTCTTCTCAACTTGGTAAATGTAAAAAATAAACAGATTTTAGTTTTTGAAAGTCACCTCATGCAGACTAACTTCTAGAGTCAGCTCTTCAAAACTTAACGACAAATCAGTTTTATTACATTGTTTACGCCAAAAAGCACTTTTAAAAAAATGTATTCAGCTTGGGAGAACAAAGATAAATATATTGTTAATTATAAAGTCTTCAGGGGGTTTAGAAAAAGCAAAGACACATTATTTAAACCAGGAAAGAGTTTACTCTGTACAGTATATTGATCCGTTGATAAAGGACTTCTTTGAAAATGGGAAAAAAATAAATAAATAGAAGTAAAATACAGGCACTCAAAATCCAAGAGGATTAAAAAGCCAATAGTTGCAATTAAAATGTTAAAGAGCCAGCATCGATCAACCCCTGTAGGTCTAACATAAACTCAAAACCTGACATGTTGTTTTTATGCTTCAGTCGCTACAGTAAAGGATTTTTTACATTTCCTTCCTTGTGGCTCGAACACCAGTGCACCAGCTTCCTCCTCACATTGTTAACATTATTCCACTGTTGACTTTAAAGCGCCTCATGTCATTCAGATGCATGATGGGAAACAGTTAGGGGGCGCCTGGCAGGCGACCAATCCAATAAGGAGCAGATTGATTGGATCCAGCAGCCCTTCCTGCCTTCTCCTGAATCTGAGAGGCTTAGAGCTGGAAATTAGATTTTCATTCACACCCCAAATCCAGCGGGAACTCAACTCCATAACCCTAACAGATGCTGAGAAGCACAGCGAGTGTGTGTGTGTGTGTGTGTGTGTGTGTGTGTGTGTGTGTGTGTGTGTGCGCGTGTGTGTGTGTGTGTGTGTGTGTGTGTGTGTGTGTGACGGCATGAAGTGCAACATGTGAGTGTGCCTGTGATTATGCTAATGAGGACGCTATCCGCTCTGCTACTCATCTATTTCCGCCCACAGCTTTGTGTGTGTCCATTTTTTAAAACACTCACATAGCTTGGACACATGTGGAAACGCATACACAGCTTGCATACGTATACACACATGCCGACACACTCGTGCACACACACAGGCAGAGACCCTGCGTGTGTGTGAAGCATGCTGTGTGTTGTAATTTCACCCTCTCCCTGCCGTGAAGAATAATCACATCGCTCGCTGACTGCTCAGTCTATCTCTCTGCTTCCCTCTCAACCGCATCTTCCACACACACGCACGCACGCACGCACGCACGCACGCACGCACGCACGCACGCACGCACGCACACACACACACACACACACACACACACACCACACACACACACACACACACACACACACACACACACACACACACACACACACACACACACACACACACACACACACACACACACACACAACACACACACACACACACACACACACACACACACACACACACACACACACACACACACACACACACACACACAGCACGCACGCTTCCCCAATCCATCCTACTTCTCCAATTCGGTCTCCACTTTATTCTGACCAACTCTCTAAAGTCCCAAGTCTTGTCGAGCTTGTCGTGAATATGTGTTTGTTACATTTAGTGCTTTTGATAAGTTGAGTAAAGCATTAGTCACAAGACAACGAATTACCACAACACCTCTGATGTTGGATCCGTCAGTTAAGTCTTTAATCAAGCAGAGAATGGCAAGCTTTTTTAGTTTTCTGTTAAATATGCTTCTCAGTTTCTTTGTGAAGTCAATATGTTTTGGAGCGCTGGTCAGACAGAACAAGCAATTAGAAAATGTCAAAGCTGTTGTAAAAGTTTCATTTCCTCTCACACACATGCACCTTGCTGCAGCAGAATCACTCCTGCCCTTCTATCGTTTCGTTGGGTAAAGCTTTGGGGTCTGTGAGGTGTTTGATTATTTACTGCAGGGACAGACAGACTGGTTAACCCTCGAGTCTGATCGCGTGTGAACAGATTGAGCGTCTAAACTACTCGATGGTCCACCCCTTTCAACACTGTCACTGATGGCCCAACACATTTCTTTAAAACAGAAACTAGTCAAGACGCAGTCACACAACTTTAAGGGTCTGTAGATTAGATCAGAATAGAGTTTGAAGCTGCACCGCAACATGGTCTCAAGTTTCTCTCGTGTTACTAAGTAGGAAATATCTCTTTCTTTCTGCGACTGTGTCCATGATTGTCATGTGTAGAAAGTAGATGCTATGATTGAAAGAAGTAGTGACTGTAGCCAATATTTTGGGTTAGCCTGACCAACTAAGGGCCGAAACATGGCCCACTCGTGTACTCAGAAGCGTAGAAACTCTGAGCGATGAAAGACTTCAAAGACCAATTTCATGTTTCATTGATCTTTGGAGTATGCCGGCTAATAGTTGCAGCCGACGGCGTGACTCAACGAGAGAGCTGAATTCAGTTTGAGTTCACTTCTGCTCAGAACATCACAACTGGCCGTATATAGCTATGTTTTCTTATTTTTTCTTTTCCGCAGATCAACCTCCTTGTTATCTCCACCTGTGTGTACGTTATCATGTTATGTTTGTTCACTGCTTTTGTACCAGGTGTTTTCTTTCGCGAAGGTTGAAATGAGTGCACAAACAGCAGAATAGCATTGGATGGTATTAATCCAAACGCAACTAAGATTTGACATCCAGAGCTTAGACTTTTTTTAAACAAAAGACTAATATCTTTTCTAACAGTCCCTTATCTACTGAAAATGCAACCAGAAGTCTTCAAAGTGCCACCTATCAGTGTCTGTGATGCAGAAAGCAGTGGCGGTTCTAGACCCATTTGACTGGGGGGGCCACTGGGGGGCCAGTTATTTTCTGAGGGGGGCACAATAAATGCAGGACGAAAAAGAGAACTAATGCAATACAGTTATTGGTATTTGTTTCAGTACACTTATTTATTTCAGATAGATCTTATAGTTATTACTGTTAGCTTCAGCTTAAGTTATGGTGCAATGTTTGCACTAACACCATATTTATATAAAAATAAAGGCAATGAACAGTTACATCTCTACTTTACATAAGGGTGTCTGCACAATCTCACATTACAGCAACAAAATCCTGCGGTTTTTGGCAAACCGAGTACCAGAAAATATACATTTAAAAAAAAAAAAAACGTTTCATTGTTAGGGGGGCCACAGGGGGGTCAGAGGTCAGTGTGAGGGGGGCACTGGCCCCCCTAGAACCGCCCCTGGCAGAAAGTGAAGTTGACCTTTACTTCCAGAAAGATGAACGCCTGAAATAACTCCCACTCGTCTTTCCTGCGCCCTGCCATGAATCCAGTAATCTCACCGCCTCCTCCAGAAGAAGGTCCATCTACATTTCTGCTGCCGTCAGGATGTGTGTGAATGGATTTCTGCTGCGGTGTGTTCAGGGGGAAAGGCACAGCGTCAGCAGGAGGGAGATTATTGACACCCACACCAGCGGGATTGAGAGCACTTCATGTCCTCCGCCAGTCTTTGAATCCCACTAATACCTGTACCATGTGTCCACACAACTCCAAATCCAAACAGTCTTTGTAATCCTCTGAAAACGCCGCTGTCAGATTGATCTATCTTGGCAGTAACAGAAGCGTTACTCAAACATTCCGCCCATCTGCCGCTGCAGGCCGGCCAGGGGAAACGTTTAAAGTCACAGCGGGAATTTTCTGAGATTGTTTGATACAACATTAACCTTGTGTGGATTTGGAAAGATTTGAAACCCAATCAGATGACTTATTCTGATGGTTTAGATTCCTCACATTTAGAATAAACACTGACCCTGTGAAACACTGAACAAGCTACAATCTCCCTTTGATAGAAATTGAGTAAAGTATAACATAGCATGAAGAAATACTCAAAGAAAGTACCTCACATTTGCACTAATGAGGTACCAAATTGCCTCAATACTTAATACCATTTTAAGTGTGAGCCCATGCACTTCAAACGTGTTTCTAGCTCTGCTCTCGTATCGTTGAGCCACTTGGAAAATGTTTGAAGTCACAGCGGGAATTTCCAGAGATTGTTTGATACAACATTAACCTTGTGTGGATTTGGAAAGAGTTTAAACCGCATCAGATGACTTATTCTGTTGGATTAGATGCTGAATTTGTCTCTGAAACAAGATGTATTAGAAACATGTAATAAGTCTGTTTTGATAAGTACGTTTTTTATTTGCAAAACTTAATGCATTCGTTTGTAGATGGTGTTTTGTATTTGCAAACCACACTGTGGTTGTTAGTGAATCATAAGGCATTTGTAAAACTTGTTTACTTTGTGTCGTGTCAAATTATCATATCATTTAAAACATAGTCTTATACTCTGATTGTCTCTTACAATATGCAATTGTATTTGTAGTCTTGTATGCGTTCAACAGAGACATATGTTAAGGGTTCAGGAGGGCAAAAGGGAGAGTAAAAGGTGGATTTGCAAATGGTTAAGAACGAGGGGGTTTAAGGTTTAATGGTGGGATGTTTAGATGATGCCTACGGGATTTTAAGGGTGGGACCAGTTGGATATTCTCTACTATATAATGTAAGCTGTGTGCGGGGTGCCAAACTTATCCTCTGAGGAGGAAGTAGCTCTGTTCCTGCATTTAGGATCGATTTCACTTGTATATTGACTTTCTTTATTACTTTATTAAATATAACAAAAGACAAACTTTGTCCATGTTCAGTTTCTCTTAAGAATTTCCTCCACAGTTTGTTTGTGGAGTTACAGCAGGACATTAGCTCCGTAATGCTAGCTCTGCTCACTTACCGTTGAGCCACTTGGAGTTGTACTGTGCGGTCCGGAGGGGGGGCATGCCTCCGAGGCTGCGGTAGATGACGGGGTCCCGGCCGGAGAAGTCGATGACGGTGGCGGCGTACAGCTCTCCGCTCTCCGTCACCACCGCCGTGGAGTTGTGCCGCGGATCGTACGGACAGCGAGCCACGCCGTTCACCCGCTCCAACACGCTGCTCAGGTTCCCCACCTAGTGTTGAGGAGGAGATGGAGAGAAAAAGGGAAATAAGGTTGTTTTTTTCATTCTTTTACTTATTCAAAAACATATAGGAAGTTTTTTTTGCTTACAGAGTGAAATGACCCCTAAGTAGCTAAGTGTCGGTCATGAAAAGAGCTATTGGAATTCTCTAGAAAATAGGAAAGGAGCTGTAATGCTTCCTTTATTATCTCCTTTAGCTTAGGACACAGTAGTTCATGCTTTACAAAAGGAAAGGAAAGAACGCCATCCTACAATTCCTTGTTATTCCTTCCTAGTTGTTCCTTGCTAGTTATTAAGGATTTTCCAAATGATGCCATATCTTGCTAAGGTGCTTATATGTTTTAAGCTTTGAACAATATGGTAAACCAAAAGGAGAACTATTAATGTGACACTTAATATAGTTGTACAATCTTTAAAGAAGTCACATTTCACGGAGTTGGATGGAGTTTCTTAAGCTGTTTATTTGCTAATTCAACATGTTTAAATGGCGATATGCACAGAAGTACATTTGGCCGATGTGTAATGCACATTTTGCATGTATTATTCATTCAAATATTATACAAAAATGACACTAATTAGGATTGATGTGGATTACCACAAGCGATACGGAGTGTGAGCAACCATTTCGTTTATTTGTTCCTTTTCATTTAAACCTTGGTAATAAAGTTTTAAACATAAACATATTTAACACCGTTGTCCACGTTTATAAACCCTGCATGAAACAACATGACAAAAACGCACGGGGCAAAGTATCCAGAAATGCTTTTAGGAGTCCATCTGCAGAAAGATTGTCGTTTCCTCACAGCAGACACACATCAATACCATCGATCGCTGCATCATAAATAAGTGCACTCTCTTTTCCACAAGTCCTGATGAATTCTCCTTCACATCCTTCCTTAATCCCAGTCGTTCTTTACGGAGGTTAAGGAACAGTGGTTTGGAAAAGATAAAGGACCTGAGGGCTGCAGTGTTGTCAGCTCATTTCAACAACATTGCGTGCATGCACCCACCCACACACACACACACACACACACACTCATACCATGTATACATCACTTCAGGGGACATTACAATGACTTAAATGCATTTCCTGGAGACTTATCCTCACCTTAACCAACACATGCCTAACCCTAATCCTAACCAAGTCTTCACCCTAAAATTAATGATTCCCCTCATGGGGACCTCCATTTTGTCCCCATAAGGGAGGCGAGTCCCCACACATGACTATGTAAACAGATTTAGGTCCCCACAAGTATAGTAATGCTAGGCCACACACACACACACACACACACACACACACACACACACACACACACACACACACACACACACACACACACACACACACCACACACACACACACACACACACACACACACACACACACACACACACACACACACACACACACACACACACATATATCCGTACCTCTCTGGTAATGCATTGGGGCTGGAAAGCATTGGTTCCGCAGGACATGACCTCAGTCTTGTTCACCAGCAGGACTCTGATGTAGTTTTGACATTCAATCTGCGGAGAAGTGGCCAAGAAGAGAAAAAGCTTTCAGAAAGTTACGGAGGAGCAGAGAAAAGCTGAGGAGGCAGGATACATATTCTCTGACGTGTTGCTGAGAAGAACAATAGAGCCGGTCCTCTGGTATCAGACCGGCACGCAACCAAAAGCAATTCAGAGTCTGCACATTTCCCTCTTGTACGGCCATTGTTCAGACACAAGGAAAGTGTTTGCAGCTGAATGGAAGCCTATTTGTGACATCGACTGAGGCGCTGCAGTGTGTGTTTCTGTAAAAAAGAGTCAAATCTGTTTGAACAAAAGGCGTGAAATCGATTGGTGTTGAAACGGTTTAAGTTTTTGGGAAACGGTGGCGCTTTGTGTCCGATGTGAAAGCAGTGAAGCAGGTCTCCATAAGAGTTGATTGTTTTGTGTATTAGATGTGCTCTGAAGGCACAGAGGGAGATACATGTGACGCTGCAATCAGATACTCACAAAATAAACTATAACAGCTGATGCGTCGATGTGTTAGAGGCAGTGTTTCGTAAAAAGGCCAAATGTTGTTGCTTGATCGTGACGTCTGCAGTGGAAATTAGAAAGGACTATATTTCCCAGCCTCTTAAGAGACACAGAAATGAACTTACTTATCCGTCAGCTATATTATCCTACTCAAAGAAAGGAAGAATACTATTGTAAAGGCCTATTTTCTGTGATAGGCCTTTAAACGCGAGTCGCACAATATCAATACATCATCGAGAGCCAAACAAGTCATCACAAAAGTACAAAAGATATCGCGTCAGATCTGTCTGTTAAAGCGTCTCAGTGGCTTGATGGAAACAGGAAGGAAGCTGTGACAGTTGTTTATCAGACATATTTGAAAGGAAGTCCTTATGTGTGTCTCACTATCTTGCCCTCTTTCCCTTTTCTGTTCAGCGCCAGAAAAACAAGCTTTATTGGAAGTCTCTGAAAAGCAGTTTTCTGTGCAGAGCCTCCCATGAGGAGCAGCAGATATCAAGATGGCCTCTCTGTGTTGTAATTGGGGGCGGATGGAGGTTACCTCTGTTTTGCCTTTGCTCTGACACGACCGCCGGGTGTCCTCGTCCGGTGCCCACTCCGTCGCCTAGGAGACAAAAAACAAGAACACAGAGATGAGAAAGAGGCCGAAAGGCAGTCGGCTGCAGACACGACAAAACAGTTACGCAAGAACCGACTGTTGCTAATACTGTAGGCACGCACAACAAGACTTTAACCTCATTGCTGTTTGTTTATTGTGTAAACATGGCGACCGGCTTGCCCGCCAAGGGCTCATTGGAAAAGGGCTGAGGACGCCATTAGCATGTCAATGGCTTTCTCTCTTCTCTCCCCCTCTATATCTTTTGCACCAGAAAGTTTGCAGCACTCTCCACCTCCCCCTTTTTACTCCTACCGGCCAATTAGATTCCTGTTGATGGTTGTGTCTAGGGCTTGATTATGGATGCAGGCGGCAGCAGTGCAGTCGTGCAGTGCACACACTAAAGCAGGAACACACACACATGCTGCTCAGCCACCGGAGTAGCACTGGCTCTTGTTAAGCACTACAACAACTCAAAATCTTGCCAAGTATATTTGTCTTATATCTATTCAGAATGTCTTAACACCTGATATAAGACATAACTTCAGAAGTAACACTGCAGTGAGATATCAGGTCTTGTTTTAGACAATGCATCATCTTAAGTCAAAACATCTTATTTTGAGTCGTATCTCAGATGAAACTTATTTTCTTTCACATATTTATTGGAAAATCACCAACTAACATCAGATAACAGAAAACCTTTGAGCATTGGCGGCTTATATTGTAACACAACATCTCCTGATTCTGGTCAAATATAGTTCAAAACTAGTTCTACCAGCTAATTACAAGATCTGATGCATCTAAAAATCTTACCAAGCACATGTTCAATCGATCTATTGGCAGATGTTTGTACTTATCTCAAGTGAAAACGTCTTGTTTTCATTATTGTTTAACTTCATTTTTGTTTTCAAAGAGATGTCCCTCTCTTGGCATAGACTGAATATATGTGAGGGTGCCAGGAGACCCCCTGCTGGGTGTCACTGGCCTCATTTTACTCATCCTCCTCCATCTCCTCCTCTTCTCTGATCGCACTGCCCAAGTTAGAAGGTTGCCTAAATGTCTAGAAGTAAGAAGAGCATCAATCTGATCCACGTCTTTATTTATTTCTCTCCCAAAGGGATTGCTTTCATGCACGAGAGGAGCCACGGCAGATAATTATCTAGAATTGATTAATTGCCTTCCCGGGACAATAGCCCAGTGGGACAAAGTTGTGCCCCAATATTCAGAGGAGCCCGCCAACTGAGACCAACTAAGAATCAACACTAAACTAGGTCAGTATTACAGGAGCCAAATGGAGAGCTCAAACAAACCGTACACTTCAGGGAATTTAAAGATTTAGTTTTATTATGTTTTTTGGGAGTTTTCCCTTTCCTGTAGTGTGTTATAAAGATTTTAGTGCATGGTCTGAAAACGCTAACATCTCCAAATTCCCGCCAGTTACTCTCCCACACATTCCCCCGCTGCCTGGAACGCCTCCATTGGACACATTGTACTTGATAGGCTAAGGGGCGGGACATCTCTAAGCGGGTGACCAATCACAACAGAGCCGGCCAGCTAACGTTAAAGTAGAGACACTACATACTGATATACACCTGAACATCAGCAGGAGAGGACTCTTTAAAGTAGAGACACTACATACTGATATACACCTGAACATCAGCAGGAGAGGACTCTTTAAAGTGGAGACACTACATACTGATATACACCTGAACATCACCAGGAGAGGACTCTTTAAAGTAGAGACACTACATACTGATATACACCTGAACATCATCAGAAGAGGACTCTTTAAAGTGGAGACACTACATACTGATATACACCTGAACATCAGCAGGAGAGGACTCTTTAAAGTAGAGACACTACACACTGATATACACCTGAACATCAGCAGGAGAGGACTCTTTAAAGTAGAGACACTACATACTGATATACACCTGAACATCAGCAGGAGAGGACTCTTTAAAGTAGAGACACTACATACTGATATACACCTGAACATCAGCAGGAGAGGACTCTTTAAAGTAGAGACACTACATACTGATATACACCTGAACATCAGCAGGAGAGGACTCTTTAAAGTAGAGACACTACATACTGATATACACCTGAACATCATCAGGAGAGGACTCTTTAAAGTAGAGACACTACATACTGATATACACCTGAACATCAGCAGGAGAGGACTCTTTAAAGTAGAGACACTACATACTGATATACACCTGAACATCAGCAGGAGAGGACTCTTTAAAGTAGAGACACTACATACTGATATATACCTGAACATCAGCAGCAGAGGACTCTTTAAAGTAGAGACACTACATACTGATATACACCTGAACATCAGCAGGAGAGGACTCTTTAAAGTAGAGACACTACATACTGATATATACCTGAACATCAGCAGGAGAGGACTCTTTAAAGTAGAGGCACTACACACTGATATACACCTGAACATCAGCAGGAGAGGACTCTTTAAAGTAGAGACACTACATACTGATATACACCTGAACATCAGCAGGAGAGGACTCTTTAAAGTAGAGACACTACATACTGATATATACCTGAACATCAGCAGGAGAGGACTCTTTAAAGTAGAGACACTACATACTGATATACACCTGAACATCAGCAGGAGAGGACTCTTTAAAGTAGAGACACTACATACTGATATACACCTGAACATCAGCAGGAGAGGACTCTTTAAAGCAGAGACACTACATACTGACATACACCTGAACATCAGCAGGAGAGGACTCTTTAAAGTAGAGACACTACATACTGATATACACCTGAACATCAGCAGGAGAGGACACTTTAAAGTAGAGACACTACATACTGATATACACCTGAACATCAGCAGGAGAGGACTCTTTAAAGTAGCGGCACTACATACTGATATACACCTGAACATCAGCAGGAGAGGACTCTTTAAAGCAGAGACACTACATACTGACATACACCTGAACATCAGCAGGAGAGGACTCTTTAAAGTAGAGACACTACATACTGATATACACCTGAACATCAGCAGGAGAGGACTCTTTAAAGTAGAGGCACTACACACTGATATACACCTGAACATCAGCAGGAGAGGACTCTTTAAAGTAGCGGCACTACATACTGACAATTAACAGAATATGTCCCCTCTAACTAAGGCTGCGTCACCATGTGTCTCATCTTAAACACCTACATGCAGTCTAGGACAATTTAATAATTTAGGTGTGAATTTGCCCAGCAGTTATATAACTCATGTGCTTTTTCTGGTTCTTCATTATGCTTGCATTAAAGCTCAGCAGAAGGGACTAACATTGTAAAGCCCCAAGACTAAGTGGGGAACTCTGCAGGGATCAAATAGATTCTAAGTTAATCACGTTTCTTTTTCTTAAATGCTCAGTGCAGGGTATATGGCTCTTTAGGAATTTAAACTGAAATATAGTTCATTAAATTAGGACTTTTAGGAGACCTGCTAAACATCTGCTGAGTGCTCCTTTCTGTTTAAAGTATAAATAGATCTTTCCTTTCACAGATCATGAAGTAAATCGACTATGCTTGAAGGAATGGAAGTTCATGATTTCGGATGAATAGCCTCCGCATGAATCCTCGGTAATGAGTGAAAGCGGCAGAATGAACTGAACTCTCCACCGCCTAATGAGCCCGGCTGGGATTTATTTTATTGCTTTTACATAAAGTTTATATTAATAGACATTCAAGGGTTGTTTTTGGATTGTTCAAACTGCCAGAGCTGCAGAGGAAATACACCTCATCATGATGTTTGATTGTTCGTGACAAATGAAAGCTCCACAAACTCACTCTATACCTGCTCAGCAAAAAGACAAACCGACTAAATGAGCAACTAGCTGCGGAAGAAAGTAGAATATTAAGCAACTAAAGAGATAGATATTGCGCTTGGTGAATAATTATGAAAGCTAAAAGAGACTAGCATTCATCAGCTGGACAGAAACTCATTTTGAAAGGACATAATATATGTGTGCAAAAAAACTTTATAGAGCAATTATATGTTAGGAGAAGTTTTTTTTGAGTAGTTCCTCCCATTAGTTGCAACAAATATAAATTCAACCATATTTTGTCCAAGCTGCACGACAATATTGATCCAATACAAAGTGTCATAAAGCAACTTTTGACAAACATTAGCATGTGTGTATAGTTTAAATGGAAGATCCCCATAGGCCCCGCCCACTCGATCGGATCGGCGATCGGAGCATCCCTAATGTAAGTTGTGCTGACAGGTCCACTCCACACACTGGCCGTTTCTCAATCTCGAGGATTCTGGCTTCCAAGCCAATATTTCAAGGATGCTACGTCACCAAGTGGTGCAGCAGGACCGTTACAATGTCCAGCATACTTGGAATTCCACCGAGGCCGTGTCCTTGGTTTGGGGGAAATTTCGAGGCTGCACATGGGTAGACTTCGCGTCCTTAAAATCCCCACAATGCTTTGCGCACGGACCAATTTAAAAAACCCTTGCGGAGAATGGCTGAACCGACGCAGCACACATTGAAATGTAAGTATAGTGGCGTAGAACATGTGTTGGTAAATATGTTACTTTGTTACATTCATTTGTTATCACCATAAATGTGTTCCGTGAAAGTAAAGCAAGTTCATAATTAGATAGACATCGTGAGGTATTTATTTTCGGTAGTCTATGTTGAAACCGTTAGAGAGAGTGGCACACTTGTTAGCCTGTTCCATTCTTCTTCGTTTTCCGAAGCCGTGGCTTGGAAGCATACTTGCTTCGTTTCTGAAGGAAGTGACTTGGAAGTACGCGACTACCAAGCCAGCATCCTCGCGGTTGAGAAACGGCCACTGCTTCCCCGCAGCGAGGCTCCCCCCGCCCTTCTGTTGACAGTTCACGAGCGTCGAGCTAAGACCAACATTCACACTGTTAAAGGTCCGTTTACGATTCTGCACCCAATAGAAATGTTATCATCCTCTTAAAAAGGTGTTTTCGCTGATGTTATAATACGTCAGATGCGAGAAACGGCACCTAA